ATATTTATTCTAGAATAATATATAGGCTACTTTTAATTTTTTCCGTTATAATAATGCTCCGAGGATGCTCTTGGGACTATCTGGAATGTTTGCGGAAGCCAGATTAGATTACTTCTATGCAATTATAAGTAACCGATGTGCATCCATGATACGGCGATTTAGGTCTTCAGTCAGCTGTACTGGCAGACCAAATTGATGGGCCGTTCATCAGTCACTGGGCAAGTAGACATGTGCGTCCTAATGTCCATGTTAGATAATAATTGATAATATTAAAAGATTAACTAATGTTTTCTACCTAATAAGTATTAGAAAATATTAGTGACAAAAAAGTACATAGAGTGTTGTGTTTCGCCGTGTGAGTGAGGTTACCGAAGGCCCAATCCTTCCCTTCCCCCAATCCCTCCTCAATCCCTGAGTCTCCAAATCCCTTATCCCTAATATCGGTAACGCACTCGTAACTCCTCCGTTGCGGGTGTCCATGGGCGGCGCTGATTGCTTACCATCCGTAATCCGTCGGTAATCCGTCTGCTCGTTAGCCGAACTATAACATAAAAAAAAATACATTCGTCTATATATCGCGGTGTCGTGGGCAGAAATTCCAAGTCGGTCATTTACATGCAAGTAGAAATAAATATTTCAGTTTTGCTTATCTCAAGCGTCGCGCGCTAAGCGCCGCGCCGTCGTCACGTCGTATCGTGGGAAAAATTGCGCAGTGTCAACAAAATTGACAAGGTACACTAGTTCAGGAAAATGCGACTTTATACCCTTGTCATAAAACGATAATTTGTTAAAGAAATTGACGGACTGAAAAGCCTACGTCAGGGATGGCGAACCTTTTCATATCGTCTGGTTTTTTTTGGAATGCAATATTTGGATATGAATTTAGGTATTAATAAATTATTTCGACTAGATACCTACTTATTATCAGAATCAACAAAGCTCATGGACGGATCTATATAAAGACCAAACTGACCAAAGATCACTATAAAATTTGTGATCAGTTATGTACCCGGAATATTGTGTTGCGTTCTATCGATATCGTGCCAATGGTTTATTATCCCTAGCCTACATATCAAAGAGTAGGTAGCACAAGTACATAATGATGTTGTCGATATCTTGTCAATGTTGTTTCTGCAAACAGTACTACACAATATTATGATATCTTTATGTAATAATTTGATAAGCTCCTGTCTATTTGATGTCTCAGGAAAGGGATATGGCGGCTTTTGGTAGACGCGTTTCTTTATATAAGTTTCGAAAAAGGTGCGTAAGTTATACGGCAGCTTCGGAAGGTCGCTGTTTCGGATCCGATGGAAAGAGACGCCCGAGTCTCGTCATTGTGAGGACCACCCAGAGGACAACGTGGAGCCTACGGTGGCGGTGTGCCTTGCTTGGGCTGAAAAAAATCGCTGTGTCCTCAGGGAAGTGATCGGCGGCGTCAACTTCTCGCGCCTGGCCTTAGTCGAGACCAAAGGAACTGGGAAGCCTTCTCTTCTTTCTGTGAAGCAGTTATACTCGCAAAGAAGGAGGCAGCCCTCCTTACGCCCCAGCCGCCGCAGTAGGCGACACTCTTGAGTTCGGGGATCGAGAGACCAGAACCAGACCCGAGCATACGGTGCGTAGCGTTCTGCGTGCGTCTCAAGGGGCCAATAGGCCCTTTAGGGCAGATATTCAGCCGGGGCTGCTGGAGAAGGAACGGGGGTATTTTAGTCAGCAAGAGTCTGACACTCCCTTCCGCCCGACCTTGGGCGATAGAAATAACTGGATGATTTTCCCCTCACAAAAAACAAAAAGCTATCGTTTTTGGAATAATTTTGTTTAAGTATGTAACTGCTAAACTAGAGCGGCAAATTAATGTGAAGTCTTATATAATTTTCAGTTTATTTTATGAGAAGATTACAGCATCAGTCTAGTTAGGTATTTGTACCTTCACATGTTAATAAAAAGAACTTCTCGACCCGTCAATTGGTCCAGGTATACACATCTTCTCACAGATAACATGTCGCATTGAATGACAGTGGATTGCCCCGTTTTTTTCTCCACTTGAGCGAATAATATGAAAACAATGAAATACAACGGTGAAAGTTGCAAGACCAGCTACACTTAGGATCCACGGTTCAGATAAAAAATCTAGTTATGGCAAAAGAAACCTATAGAACTTATCAAGGACAACAGGTATTTAAAGAAGCGAATTAAATGAAGAAAACCGTTATTCGAATTATTTTCAATACTGCCCCTCTAACGCGGCGGGGGCCACATAGACAAAATTCCAAATTTAAAATGGGGTGCACAATCGCGTCAGTAATTCAGTGTTACTATTATTAATAAAAAAATATTACCTCTTACACGCGCCGTTTTGTACACCTGCAGGTAACTGTAGTTGGAGTACGGTAAGCTATGTGTTTTTTTACTTCGTGGGCCTCACGGTTGAAAGGAACGATAGTGAGAGGGTTTCTATTTCATTTATTGTTGTTCAAAAAGGATGGGTTATTTATGTCTGCTTGTGTTTTGTACACAAAATATTACGATGCCACTTGTCATGACATTATTACCAATATTGTTTTTTTTTTAAATGGAGTAGAAAGTTTATTTTATTATCTAGTGAGTGTACCCATTCATTAGGAATAATTAATTTTCTTTGTTTTTTATAAATAGGTCATAGGATCTTAATGTATAAATGCTCTTATAGTAGGTACCTAAGTAGTAGGAAAATGGTATAGCGTTGGTAAAGCTGATAATAAACAACTCTTACTTCACGTGAGATATCTTGAAGGACAATGCTTCGGACAAACACTAACAGAATCTCGTATTAACTTTGTGTACAATCACGCACAATGCGAATATCATTCCACCTACACAGTGCGTTTATAAACATCGTTTCATTTAGTCGTTTTAACTACCGCAGTTATTTTCAGGGTTTTCAGAATGTTTTACAAGGCATACTCTGAATTGCTATTGTGTATTGAAGTAACAATCAAGGATGACAATTTTTTAATTTACAACCTGCTTTAAATACAATACTTACCTAACATATGACTAAATATACTATTGTAAAAGTTAATCGTAAAATCTATTAAGTAACTAAGAAGTTAAAAAGGAGCGGTGTGATTTCATTCATTTGATGCCTCCTCAAAAAACTTTAATTAGGCAGGTTGTTGATAATCAATAAAATAAAATTTTCTAGTTATTAACTTTTACAATGCACTCTTATAGATTTGTAAAAAATAATACTCGTCAAAAGTATTAGGTGTGACTTGTGATATGTATTTGCACCTTTAACCCCTCCGGTGGAAATATATTGGTTTAGTTAATTATTAATATTTTAGACACAGTTTTTATAACAAAACTATCTAAGTACATTTCTACCAGCCCTAAACACGGAGTAGGGTACTTTTTGCACTTATTAACGCGTCTGCGGCGGATCTAAACATAAACGGCGCATGCCTGTCCGTCGGCTACTATGGTTATGATACTATTTGTAGTAATTTATCTAAGTATTTTAATAGAAGATTTGACTTTCCAGTACAGAATATCAGTAAAAATAACTAGGTAGCAATATAGTGATTTGTAATTAGATTTATTCTTTATGTGGTTGGTTGTAGTCGCTAGCTTTTGTTGTTGTAGGTAGTTGCAAGCCCAGGAATAGGTACCTACTGCGTTGAGAAAAATGTTAATGAGTTTATTGTTTTCTGTAGTAACACGTTGCTCAGAATGGCGTCCAATGTGGTACTTTTGGTCAGCGTGACGTTATTTTATAGTTATATACATTAAATAAGTTTAGAAAAGTAGGTATTTTTTATGAGGGTTAAATCATCGAATGACTTCCCTCGCTCAGGGTGAGCCGAGAGAGGGAGAGAGAGTGAGTGTCAGACTCTTACTGACTAAATCCCCCCGTTGCTTCTCCTGCTCTATGCCGTGGCCGCAGTACTTTATAGCGCTCGGTTCGAGATTTTTTGTCTTTTGTAGTGTGGATAGATACTAACAGCTTAACAGCGACCATACCACCCAACGGGCACGCTGTTATAGCATTGGTAAGACCCCTCTTTGAAGAGTGGCTTAGGAGACGCCACGGCGCGAGGAAACATCCGAGTAGCGTCATTGTGAGGACTCACCCAGAGGAAACGGTGGCAGTGTGCCCTGTTTGGGCTGAGGACCGCCGTGTAATCAGGGAAGTGATCGGCGGGAGCGACTAAAGGACTTAGGGCACGATGAATCGCGCCATCTGATCGGTGCTTTACATTAAAATTTAATAAAGGTTTAATACAACTGACAAGGATGTACAGGAAGTTCTGCTATGCCAACTATTTACTTCCTTGATCATTGCTCTGTTACCCACAATTCTGGGAGATCCGAGCGTGAAATGTTAATCAATAATTAATTAAAGCGCAAAGCACCAATAAGCCCACCAATAAACATGATAAACGCTTTTTGTTAAATTAATTGTAACACTTACATACTTCTAACATGTGAAAATTACCTTTAATTTACAAGTATTTTAACTTATTATAACTTAAGTAAAAAAGTAGGTACTTAAATATTTTGTTTATTATTTTTTTTGTGAGATTTTTTCTGTTTGCCGCCATCTATTGGTTTCAAGGAATGGCTGGTCACGGTGCTCACTTAACGCCATCTAGTGGTTCTTTAGTTTATAACTATGTCAAGTAATGCATGTCATCTAAAATGTAGGTTTACTTATTCTGAACTTAAATGTTTTTTCATAATCTCCCTCTTAATAAATATCAAGTTTGCTATTCAGTTGTATTATTTTGTTTTTACTTATATTTAAGACAAGATGAATTATTTTTTTATTAAAAGTGAAACACGTAGACGTATTTGTTCGCTACAATATCAATGAAATTTATATTTATTTCTGTAATATTAGTTATCGCATGGAATTAGACATAGTCCAAATAAACCCGCTTGAACTTATAAATTGGTAGATAATGTGCGAATAGTTGCAAATTTTCCTTCCGTACCAGCCACACTGGGTGTACTGTCATGTCAAACTAAACGTCACGTTGACGCAGAATTAATCAGTCATTCATTGTCAAATAGTTTACAAGATGGTAGCGTGAGTTCGCTGCATCTCTGCTCTTTATTGATTTTCCACTACCTGAGTGCACAATTCCACTTTTCAAATTAATTACTTTGTAAAAAATAATCTTAAAGCTACTCCACGATGTCTGTAAAAGTGTTCGAAGCCAGGGAGCACTGCAAGGCGGCTGAAAAATTGTGAGTATACAGTAATTAAGTTAATATTTTTAATGTAGGGTATATGTTCACCACTTTTAAAGTGTGCTGTTTTTTTAATTATACTAAAACTTGCTATAGAATTTAGTCATTCGCACAGCTAAATCGTGAGCGAACCTCGTTTCAAACTAATTGCTTTTTTTGGCATTAGAAACTTACTTTGAAAACTGCATTTTCTCATTACTCTTACATTACTTTTAAATTATTTTGTTATCATGAAGACAAAATAAAAAATAATAAGTCTGTCTTCATTCTTATTTTTATTATAATTGGGATTTTCTGGAAGGCTTTCTAATAATGGAAAAAAAAATTATAACTTTCAAAATTGCATTAAAGTACCTATCATTAACTTTTTAATACTGTCCTATTTTACCTTCCTACCTACATAATAAAAATAATTTACATAAATGTAATAAAAGATTTATATAGATTAATAGTTAAAGAGGAACCTATTATTTTGAATTCTTGTACTATTACCCACTACTAGAAAAAAAAAATTGATGGAGAGACTTCAGTTTCACAGTCAAGTTAAAATTATATGGTGGAATGTATTAAAATATCTACAAGCAAAGAGAGAAAGTTATAAAACTTTTTGAAATTAGAATCTTTTTACATCTTTTTTGAACAACCTCTTTTTATTGCACTTTACCAATGCTAGCGTTTTAATTTTTTTTTTGTTGAGGGTCATAGTTTCCTCAACCAATTAATTTGTATCATAGATTCTAAAGTATGATGACAGGTTTCTCGATTCTTGAACTTGAACAAAGAAGTTTTATACATTTTCGCATTGGTAAATTGCAATTGCTGTTTTGACCCTCGACTATACATACATTTTTATTTTTTTATCTGTTTCACATCACATAGGTAAGCAGCTCATGTTCGAGAGGCCTTTGTGTGTCTCCCATGCATACATTTTCACGCACACACATTAAGGAACATTTCACAATCACCTCATTACCCGTTGGTATTCTAATAAGTATAAAATTATAATAATGAAATAAAACTTTTTGGATTTCAAGAAAATAATTTTAATAGTAAGGTAGAATATTGTATCTTCATTTCTTTCTACCCTCATTATAAGTAGTTATTTTGTTAACTTAAGTATTGAACATAGATTTGTATATGTCCAATAATGATCGTAACACATAATAGATATGATGGCACATTAAGTAGATTATTTTAATCAACAAAAACACAAATAATGTGCTGAACTTTTACTTAAACGAAATAAAAAAATAAAGATCTTTAATCAACATTAATATAGAGTACATTTTTCATTGTCATTCTCCGTTCAGATGCATTAGTGTGTGTTCTTTGTCATCACCATTGTCATGACACATGTTTGATTATGTTTTAGTGCATGTTCATTCGCTTTTTAGTCATATTAGTGTCTTGTATAGTAGAAATTAAAGTACTGATTATTCGAAGGTCTTGGGAGATACCTACCCACATTATTATTTTTTAATTTTTTTTCTAGTGAAATAATACTTACATCAATAAATTGTTTTTTTTTATCTGTATGTTTTATTTATATTATGCTTATATGTAATATTCGTAGTGGGTAGACATGATATGTGCAAAAGAGTAATTCTAATTTGAGGTTTATTGTCCAAGAGAGTGACCATGCTTATATCTAGTTTATAATATGCAGTGTTTGCAGAGCATTCAATATATTTTTCATAATTTTTACGATTTTTGTGCTCAACAATTAATAAAATTCCTCCTTTCGAATTATCGAAATCTACAATTTTCTATTTATTTTACAAGACTATGAAGTGAAGTCACTGATATTGCGTCGAATACCATACTTATCTTTTATATTAGGCAGAAAATATATCAATAAAGTAGTATAAAGTATACACTTCAATAATCCGTTCTATATATTATTACATTATATATATGTTTTTGTTTATTTATTTAGCCGCAAGGAGGCTATAACCACAATACATGTTAACCAGGTTTTTAAAAATAAACATTCACGAATCCATTGCAGAGTTAAATATCAATCAGATAGTACCTATTTGGACATACATATGAGTAAAAATTATAGATAACCAGAACTTTTTTCACTAAAAAAACTTTAAAATGACACATGACCAGATAGTTGACTATTGGAATCCACTATTGGATACAGTAGACCTGATAGTTCACTATTTGAATTGATTGAGATTCTAGTAAATAACTAGTTCCTTAAGAGTTTTCGCTATGGGATGCACAGGCCCCTTGCGACGGCCAATGAAGTGTAGAGATAAATGGAATTATTTATCAAAACTTTTCCGCTTTTCGTCTGCTAGCAAAAATATAGGGTAAAATAAAATAAAGCAACGAATTGTAGGCCCTTTTGATTATTGGATTTGAAATTTAAATTGGTTGATTGGTTAGAATTCTAGTCTTGGCTTCTGCTAGCGTACAATATTTGATTATTTATCATTGCGTTGATAAAATAGGTACTCCTGTTGCATCATTCAGTTTGCGATAAATACAAAAACACACTGAACACTTTTTCAAAGAGGAACATTTTTTAAGGATTGTTCAGTTCTTTGTAATTATTTGGTTATCGCTTTTTTATGACACCATGTCTTTGCAAGCGCAATTTATGCTAGCGTTGGTAGGATAGAAAAACTTAAGTAAAACGTATTTATCACTGATGCTAAATAAGATGTATATTAATGATTATGTTTAACGGCTTGTTTGCGTAACTGTTTGAAGAAGAACTTGGCTAGTTATAAGCCACTCTAGGGGCAGTAGCAATTCGGCCCGAAGTAAAGTTTAGAATGCAGCGATTCAATTATCTTCTGTTTGCTCCTAAAACATATATATCTAAGTATACCAATTTTAAGTGCCAAGTAAATATGGAACGCGAGGTTCTCGACCATACTCTGGATGGACTAATTTAAAATCAGGCACAAAACTTAAAAATCTACTAAAATTTTAGAAGTAATAGAATATCGATAACTTCTTCTATCTTATCTTCCTACTCAGGAACCCCAGATTGGAATCTGTAAAGCTACGGCAAGCTTTAAATTTTTAATAATAAACCCACACCCATAGTCTTATCCCTTGTTTCCATTATCCGCAATAGTCCTACACTAACCGGAGACTGTCCTTGGGTGCATTTCCATAGTGCATACAGGGATAGTCGCCGGTTAGTGTCCCATTTCATTTAGATTAAAGTTGTCTAAAGGGCCTCTGCGCAGTTGGCTCCGGCCCCTCGTACGCCTTCCAAATGACCGGCACCCTGTGGTCCCGTGATTGGTAAAGACATACAAATAATAATAATAATAATAATAATATATTTATTTGCATAAAATGTGGTACAAGAGTTGGTTTAATATATGTTTTAGAGCTAGACACATTCCGCAGTTATAAAACAGCATGCAAATGTTCAAGTAAAATGCACATTATTGTTTTACATCATTACAATACATTGGTACAAAACGTTCGACATCTTACAGTAAAATACAGAAACACAAAAGTAAAATACAGGTAGGTAAATAACAATTACAATGCATTCCTAAAATGGTAAGACTGAGAAGAATACTTTTTTAGGAACTCATCAACCGAATAAAAACATTCTTCTATCAACCAATTTTTTAGAGTCTTGCAGAACTTCTGATAGGGCAGATCGACTATGTTCTGAGGCAGTGAGTTATAAATTAAAGGCGCCATGTACACACAACTTCGTCTACACATCTCAAGTCGCGGAGCAGGCATTTTTAAATACGAATGAGTGACTTTGCGCTTGTTTGTATTGTTTTTATTTTTAAATAATTTAATATTGGACTTTACAAATTTAGCCACTTTAATCATAAAGGTGTCTTCTAAGTTTTGTTAAGACTGCTCTGAGCCTGGAGCGTAAGCGTCTGTTGAGCTTAATGAGCGGGCCGGCCCTCATGAGCAGTATTGCGTGACACAAAACGGGGTGAATGCCGCGCAGATGACTAGTAGTGAAATCGAAAGGCCGTATCCCAAACTGAGAAGAAGAGTTGTTCATATTTAATGTAACAGAGAACGATCCCATTCCCAATTCATAACTATTATTGGGAATTTCGGATATTGGAAAACGTTTGATTTATTTGCACGGCAGTCGTATTAGGAACAAGTTGCTCCACAACTACAATAGACCAGCTATACTTTTTTCATAAATTATTAGGAAACTATTTTTGGAAATTGACAGTTTTAATAACGTTTCTTTTGTTATTAATATAAAATCAAAGGCAACTTATATCAATGTTTGGTTGACCTACAGCTTCGACAGGTGACGTGAGTTGGAAAATTCTTTTATGAGTGTACCCATTGTGTGTCTAATGGAAAAAGTAACATAATCTTCAATAGGGTTGTTGACAAGTCAAGTTCAATACTTTGTTTCTAATATCAGTTGATTTCAAGGTGAATACGTGACCTTTCCGTTTACAAAGGGATCTTTTATAAATCACAACAGTTCTCTTCTTCTTCGAAAGGTTAAAGAAAAGTGTTCTTATTATTAGACATTATCCGCCGTACCCAAAGTCAAATGATTGCTTAAACAGTTATTTAGTCTTTCTTTTTCCAATAACAAATGCTAAGGACTGATTCTATAATCAGCTTATTCGTATATATCCATCCACTGCTAGACATAGGCCTCTCCAATACAACGTCACTGAAGTCGAGGTTCAGCTTTTCTCATCCAACCACAGTAAGTCCACTTAGCTAAAGGGCGCACGTAGTTCCAGTTAATAAGGCTCCTTTGCTTATAATCCTACAAGTAGCCAGCAATTATCAAATATATTAAAATACAAAGGCAAAGGTCGAAATCCTAATATCCTGACACACACACTTACAGTCTAGATAAGACACCTTTCTCCCACAGTAAATAAAATAATCAATCATCAATCTGTGAAATGTTATGAAATATTTTTTTTTATTATTATCTTTAACTTAAAAAGCCAATCGTAAAATGCGACGTTAACTTACCTTCTTTAAAAATACTGCTTAGAGGGCTGATTTTTCAATAGTCAGACAAATGTTATCTGAGGCATAATATTGTTGTTGTCACTGTCTTATACAAACGTTCTGACGCGACAGCATCATAATTTTTCCCAGATAACTTTTATCTTACCATTGAAAAATCAGCCCTTAAGGCTATTTTCCAGGATCTAGTAATTGTGGCTTTGCTTTTAATGTTTAGAAGCTCAAAGAATGCACAGCGAATGTTTCATGCTATCCGTGGCCAATGTTTTTATGTTGCTATCCGTTTATTATAACGACGTTGCGAGTTTTGAAATTATAATCAGTGTGTATTAAAAGTAGATAAACGTCGTCTGTTTAGATTTTACTGTGTCCTAAACTAAATTCAACTCATTATTGTGTGTAAAAATAAATTATTATTGCCGTTTTTCGTCACTACTTCTTCCGTTTTTTAACTTATGCCAATACTTATCCAAATTAAATGAAAATGTGTTTTCAAACATCCAATTGGCACATACATATCATAACCAGATCCTGAACAACAATTTGTGTATCACACAAAGTATTGTTCCGAGTGGGATTCGAAACCGCGACACGATGGACGGTAGCCTATTGCCCAGTCAGCGGGTCGCGCGTCAATATTTGTCAAATTAATTAGTAATAACTATCAGAAAATGGTTATAAAACTTTAGTTCCAGAAGAAACATTTCTGTTTTTGCATGCAATGATGGGTTGAAAAATGTATGATCCTCCTTATTACTTCTTATAATAACTTATACGTTTGTTCAAATAGCCTCAAGACTTCCCTTCTCCGCTGGAAGCCGGATTACGATTCTGCAGCCGATGAATACAGCCAAGCAGGTATGTGGAATTTTCTAGAACAGTATCCAGTTCTTTTGGTCTTACATTGCTTAGCATAGACGTCATATCATCATCATTATCTAACCTTCGACTGGTAGTTTTCTGATGTCATTATAAGTATTAGACAAATGTCGCTTCTCAAATTGAGAAGGAAAGCACACTTGCTCAAGGCAGATTAGCGATTCGAAACTAATTATTTGAATCATCGATTTCCCATGATATTTGTCTTTACCGTATGCCAATTAGTTTTTTATGGCATTTGGCAAACAATCGGTGCCGCCCATGGACACCCACAATACCAAAGGAGGTACGTTTGCGGCCTTACGACTCCGTTGCCGGCCTTTTGGGGATAAGGTTGAGGGGATTCAGAAGAAATGGGGGAAATAGGAGGGATTGGAAATAAGTGTCATAAGAATAATTACACTTATTTAAGTGAAGACAAGAAATAAAAACTGTAACTAAGTATATTATTTCCCACACTTATGTATTCTACTTTCCAATTGGCATTTTATGACTGACACTTACTTGTCAATTAAAGGTCAAGTTAGCCGTTCCTTATTTGTTGCAATAGGAACCCGGATTTCATACAATGCTTTCACTAAATAGCCTATGAAAAGAGAAAATGCCTTTAAAAAACTCAAAAAAATTTCAACCTTCCTCAGGCACACTTGTAAAATCGATTATTATAATTATAGTAAGATTATTTAATCTCTCTCTGATATTTTTGTTAGTTGTCTAATAATGATTAGGGTTTAAAGCAAGGCTTTATCCTAAGCTAATGGTTTTTCATTCAATTAATTTTTATTTATATTACCATATTTTATTCTATCTCGTCTGTAATGAATCATTCAAACTCTTATAACGGAAGACAAAGAGTGCCCTATAATAAAAAAAAAAACTAGAAGCAATAATGCAGTAAACGAGCGTAAACAATATTCATCCGATTCTGGTATAACCTCAACGCCTATCAATCTTAAAACGGGCCTCGATATAAATAGCAACAAATAAACAAACATATTTGCGATGAATGATAGATGGGATGAGTTCTATAAGAAATTTGTTGAACTTCATCGCTTGCAAACAATACCTTCTTTATAATATTTCTTAGAAAAATAATTCGCGCGCCTTGTCTTGAACTGTTAAAGTTATTCTCTTTTGGTTCTCCTGTTTTTAGGGATTTTTCTAGGTGTAGACTAAGAATCTGAGAGAACATCAGTAGTTTGTTGATTTAGTAAGATAATAACTGATGTGATTCCTATTTCAACATGGCAAAAAGCCATTTTTCGCACTTAAAATCATATTCTTAATATATTTAGGACTGATTTTTCAATGGTGAGATAAAAGTTACCTGAGGAATACTATAATGCTGTCGCGTCATAATGTTTGTATAAGACAGTGACAGCAACAATTTTGTTCCTTAGATAACATTTATCTGACTATTGAAAAACCAGCTCTTTATGTGTTGTCTCATAAATGTGCTATATTTTTTTTTTGTTTTAGTGCATACCTTTTTTACATGTTAGGTTAGGCTTAGGCTTCCAGAGCAGGAGAAGGAACGGGGGGGTTTTTAGTCAGTAAGAGTCTGACACTCTCTCTCGCCTTACCCTGGGCGGGAGAAGTCATTGGATGATTTTCCCCTGACAAAAAAAAAAAAAAAAAGGTTAGGCTTAGGCTTAGGTTATGTGAACCTGTCTGTTCGAAATTTTGATTGTCCCGATGATGCAGGTTAGCATCTAGTTAAAATTTGGAAGAACTGGAAATGTTGTGATTAAGAAAGAAATAGCCTTACTGACTGAGGACTGTGTAGTCCTCTGAGGATATGTAATAGACAAAGCTTGGATTTATTATTTTTAATTTTTCGTCGACTACGCCTTGCGAGAAGTTTATTAATGTAATAGGTGTATAGCAATTGAGTCGGCTCGACCGGAGTGATACCACGGCCTCCCAGAAAACCAGCGTGAAACAACCATAGCGTTGTTTTTCGCCGTGTTAGTGAGATTAGCGGACCCCAATCCCTAAATGACCTTCGTTGTTGCCGGTCCATGGGCGGTGTTGATTGCTTACCATCAGATAATCTGTCTGCTCGTTTGCCATCCTGTCACATTAAACAGGTACTTTAGGATAGGTATGTCCATTTGGTAGAAATAGGGGCAAATCAGTATCGATCAAATTTTGGTAATTTTGTTGTTCTTATAATTAGGCATACTAGTATAACCACCGCACAACAATAGCACCACATCAAGTGTATTTGTTAATCACAATTAAAAAAGTATATATTATATATAAGTAGAAGTTTTACGTGGAAACACAAATGAACGCTGTTTGTTCAAAGCCTATTTTGTTGCAGCTCAGTGCTATCGCATTGCTCGTGATGCAGCCAACTCTAAGGACTGCCATCTGAAAGCTTCGGAGTGTTACAAGAAGAACAACGCGTTCTTCCACGCTGCCAAGGCCCTTGAAAACGCCGTCCTCGTCTGCAAAGATACAGCAACTCCTCAGGAGGTAAGTCTTTACTCCTAATATATTTTTATGCAGGACCTGTTTTAGCGTCTTCATAGACTTATGCTGCTATCCTACTTATATTATAAATGTGAAAGTTTGTATGTATGTATGTATGTATGTATGTTTTATTACCTACTCTGTCATGCAAAAACGGCAGCACCGATTTGGTTGAATTTGGTACATAGATTCCCTGGATAAACACATAGGTTGCTTTTTATCAACATACCACGCGATCGAAGCCGCGACTGTGACATATACACGAGTTACGTTTTATATTCGAATGTATCCGGTACATAGCGACTATCCAGGCATTGGTCCATAGTCTTTACGTCTACCAGAAATATTGTAATTAACTATAAAATACGGCAAAGGTTACTTGCACGAGGGACTTTATTCTCACAATTGGTTCTGTTTATATTGATCGTAAATTAGGTAGGATTTTTTATTAGCTAACCTCCTCAAAATGGTTTTAGACAGTCATCCAAAAAGACTGTGTCTTCGGATATAAATCAATAATACACATATTGATTGTAATATTAGTAAAAGCTGGCCCAGAAATACGTTAAATTCGTAAAACTTTTGCGTTGATGTGGTATGGCCAGATCAAGTTTCTCGTATTAGTTGCTACGCAGTGTTTTGGGAGGGCGCAGTGGGAGTTCTGTATAGAAATAACTAGAATTAGTTAATTGAAGCCTTTATTCACAAGAGAGAAGAGCGGAAAAATCGTTATTAGACCGCAGACAGGCATGAATGATGCTATTGGCCGATTAAAGAGGTGTCTTACCGCTGCTCTAACAGCGAGCCCGCCTCCATTCGTTGACACCGTTGTTGCTTTCACTCCGCCATGTGATCGCACCGGAGCTCATTCCACCAAACACTATTCTGGCAAGGCAGCGAAGTTTTGTCTAAACGATACGTACCTCCATGCAAAGTATCGACCCGCGCGATCATCTTTGCCTCCAGATCCCATGGCGGTCAAGCGCAATAAGGCACCGCGGCCTCGGCCTAGAGCTGGAGCAGAAACGGTCGGTTTTTACGCAGTGTGTGACACCCCACCCGAAATCATTTGATGATTTGCCACTCACAAAAAAGATCTCATTTAGGTGATACGGCAATAGCCATGCGTTTTCAGTGCGATACCCATGATTTATGCGTAGAACCTTATGACCCTCTGAAACGCGAACAGCGCATGAACTAGCCGCCGTCTTAATTTCGCGCCCCGTACGAGACAGACCTTCTAGAGGTTGTATTTGAGTATCGGGCCAGAAAATAACATCTTAAGCCTAAGTAAGAACCATGTTTGAACGGACAGGGGCTGCGCTCAAACGGCTCCAACTTAGGTTCTAGCTTGGTTAAAACTACTATTTCATGGTTCTACCACTGACATCTAATACTTGAAAACTAAACTTAAATTTATATCTGAACATCGAGCTCAGTGGCGTGCAATTGGGAGGCCTATGTCCAGCATTGGACGACATCAGGCTGATGATGATGATGAAACTATAATTTTAAGGTATTTAAATTTGTCTGCGTGGATTAGCGCGAATATGAATGATGCTAACAACTTGTGGACATACCTAAAAATCTCCGTTGCGATTACCATTTATTTACAATTCTTCTGGCCCACCTTGTATAGTAATTTTTCAATTTAGTGATAATGTAGAAACTTCTCTAGGTATACCCATACCCAGAGAAATTTCTACATTATGATGTTGATTTTTATAACTCTTAATTTCTTGCTTAGAACTTATCCATGCTTAGGAACGAATGGGTGGCGTCGACCGGATTAATACCAAGGCTTTATTGGAAATCGGCGTGAAATAACCCTTGTGTTCGGTTTTGCCGTGGAGGTGTTGTTATCGGGTCCTATCCCCCGTTCTCAAAGGTCTGCAACTTGTCTTTCTTCTGGATATGAAGTTGTTCTTTAAAATGTTGTTCTTTTCTGTGGGGAAGGGGGTAGGGGGCATGGGAGGTTAGACAAATACGGATATCTTTAAAATCTCAAAAGTACCTAACTTTATTGCTGCTGAAGAACGTACTATATTGAACATAATATACAATACCTTTATAATGATTTTTACATCCCGAAATATTAGCTAGCCATAGGCAGAACTAGCTGTGCATATTTTTAAACCTTTTGCTCTTAAGTCCATGAACATCACGTACTAACGAGAGATAGGGAGCGATGCACTCATAAGTTTAATCACACCTTATGCGCCTAGCTGTATGTCCGCAAAATACAAGCAAACAAGAAATTACATAGAAAATAAGGATCAATAATGATATAACTATTTATATTGTGTTGTTTATTGTTATTGAAGACCGAAACTGGAAGTAGCTGCCCCATACTAATGTTACAGCTACAATACAAGTCCGTGCATACGACATGCGTCATGGTTTTAGTACCATGGGTACGATTCGGTCTCAAAAAGAGGGTATCAACAACACCTACCTTCCATCACATCATACCACCTATGTCATCAAGTACCATAAAAAAGGGTGAGTCTACTACCAAATACTGAAAAATTCAGGATTTCTTCCGTTATGGAAAAAAACGAAAAAACTAAAACATTGGTGCCTTCTGCGTCTTTGCGTGCGTCAACTTATATGTCCTTTCAATCTACGAGCATGGGTGAAGAGACAGATGTAGATTAAAGTTAAAGAGGTTTGTCGGATGCCAATTTCGTTTACGTTATCCCTGCTTACCCCTTTGAAACACAGTTGTGTAAGTATCAACATGAACCACCCTTAACATTGCAAAACTGAACTATGAACAGGTAATCACTAGGAGGAGTAGGCGATCGTTTTAGCGACGAGCCCTTCGAATCATTGTCTGCCCTGTTATCTCGGACCCGCTGGACTCTGGCACTGCTTAGGGTTGTAACCTCGCTGTGTTCTCTATCGCATATACCTACCACGGGGAGTGTTCTGAGGAATTATTATAAATATTTTCGCCATCGTCCTACGCGAAAATATTTTTATCCCCATATGGTTGGCAGTGGATTTTCGCGAAAGTTTCTGCCCCGCACAAAAACTTTGAAATGATCTGTCAGCGGCGGTGTTTCGGAACTGATATGGCCTTCAAACATTCAAGACACAAGAGTACTCCTTGAAGACGGTAACGCGCCTATGACTCCTCTGGTGTTGCAGGTGTTTGGTGGTTGTTGATGTGTGCTTACCATCAGGTGATCAGTCTGCTCATTTGCACTCTTTACCATAAAAAAGTTAAAAGGTCTTGCTTTGTTGAACCGTGAGAGGTTCACCAGGGTCCCTATAAAGTGACTACTAGTCGACTCCCATGACGCTTTCGGAAAAGCAGGGGCAGCTTAAATATAATGCTGCTTTGACTTCACTTCAAGACAATTCGGCAAAACTTTAATATACTGAATCCTACGAATAGCTATTTAGTGTTGATGGACGATTTTTTACTCCTTTATGTAAAATCTAGTGAAAGGAACAGAATGAAATGTGAAACATATATACTTATAAGATATGCCTATTAGCTACTTTTCATCCTGTTACTGCTAAGACGATGTCAAAAAACAGTAGTAAATATATAAATTCCGAACTCATTTTGCGAAGCGTAGGTCGACCATATTAGTTCTATTATTGACATTATGAAACGTAATAACGATAGCGAGCAAATAAAGTAAAAAAGAATAATATAATTGATTTTCCGCCAACGATTTCATATGAAAAACTACCTTGACGACATGAAGCAAGTAAGTCGTGTATAAATAGGACCATTAGCGAAGTTATTGACAATATACTCCTAACGAGGGAGCTTATTATCGAAGTTCAACGATTACTGAGATATCTTCGGTACGGTTCACTGAATTTCAATTTTATCTGCACCCGTCTGCGCTCAACAAGCCCTTCGGAAATATTTTTAATGAGAGTGTTATAAAATTCCTAGAAAATTCTCTAAGAAAGGATGTTAAGAACTATGAGTACCCTGCCCACGCTGTCTGCAGGCTTCAATTCGTTTATGAAATGAAAACTATTTTTTAGTTTGATAAGTACATTTAATTTATATAAGAGTTTTATTGATTTATTAGTTGTTTTCCTGATATCTAAACTCAGTTGCTCTGTGTGCCTTTAAGGGTCGCAGAATTGTTAAGATGTAAAATACAAGTGTTTTGGTTGAGTCAGCGAGTCCCATAAGTTGGTGTCTTCAAGCAAATGTTAAAGTTTAAACAAGTTTGATTTAATTGTAATTTTGTGAAGTAGAATCTTGCAACTTTTACCTTTAACCGATTGATATAAAGTTTTACTTTAGACTTTTAGGATGCAATAAGTTGATAAGTACCTAGACAAAACCAATACTTTTATTGAAATGTCAAAAAACAAAACAAAATGTTTCTAACAAGGAACGTCTGGAGTCACCGCATTTTTGCGTCAAATATCATACCTATCCTAAATAGTTTGAATAAAAAAAATAGAATGGATATATTAAATGAATGTAGGATTTATATTTGGATATTTTATTGTATTCAAAAGTCATGATAAGATACAAGATACATATTTTTCACCAAATTACCATCGTAATCAAGCATTCCCTTGGCATATACACAAATATTTACATACGCTTTGCTATCGATACAAAATCAACGAAATACATAAAGGAAATTAACTGTCCCGTTGGTTTCCTCAAACACGTGTAGACGATGTTTATTTACTGCTGCCGATTTGTCACACGCTGGGACGTTGAGTACATAACAAATAGTGTACGTGTGTACATAACACACAGATGTGCATATGGGATTTCGAAGGTCAAGTTGCTGCACCCCTGCATTTCAATTTATTTAAATAAAGGGGACATTTGCATTGAGATTACGCCAGCGTCCTCATGGCGGCATCTGACCAGACCGAAACAAAAAAGTCAAAAAAAAGTCAAAAATCATTTATTCCAATTAGACCTTTACAGGCACTTCTGAACGTCAAACAAAATTTAAAATAAAAAATAGTGTCAGTCTGTCGGTCAGTCCTCTTAGTGAAGCTATTTGCTCGTTCCAAAGTGTAGATTTCGATGGAGAAGAACGAGCAAGAAACTCCATGGTTACTCTTTTTAAATCAGTTTCACATACAGATTCCTTTTACAAACAGTTGGTTCAATTATGTGAGAACAGTGTAACACTAATATTTATTCAAATATAAAAATAAAGTAACCTTAAGGACAATAGACAGTCTGGAGCTGACCAGTCCCAACTGACGGCGCTCGTTCACGAGCATGACACGTACACCAGCATCGCCCAACTCAACCATATTATAGGGAATTAAGCGATCCAGTGCCCATGCCACCGCCAGTGTGACCTTTCAGTGAGCATGACAACTCCAAGCTGTTATAAGGACCGACATTCTGCTAGTCTAACCAATTATAATAGGTTACAGGGCACTCACATTTACAAATTTATCAAGTTATAGTTATACAATATACTGCAATTTCACTAAAATGAAGAAGTCCCGTTCAAGCAAAATCCATTGGAACGTTATTTATTTTGGTGTACGTTTGCTATCCTGTGGAGCAGGACCAGCATGTCTCCAAGCATCTTTATCTACAATGTAACCATTCAGTGTGTAGTATGCTTTTCTACATAAAGTTTTCTTTACACATAATTTAAAATTTCTTTCATTTAATTGTTGTATTTCGCCTGGGATTTTGTTATCACATTTAACACAGAATCCCATGAACGACTTATGTACCTTTGCCAATCTAAATAATGGCTGACATAATCTATCTCTATGTCTAGTTTGATAATTATGTCTATCTGACACCTTATCGAATATTTTTAAGTTTTTCCTAACATACATAATGTTTTCATAAATAAACTGACATGGCACGGTCATAATATTGATCTCTCTAAACTTTTCTCTAAGAGACTCACGACGCTTTAGATTATAAATAGCTCTGATGGCACGCTTTTGCAAGACAAAGATAGACCCAATGTCAGCAGCCTGTCCCCACAACAAGATGCCATACGACATAATGCTATGAAAGTAGCTGAAGTACACCAGTCTTGCAGTGTCCACATCTGTTAGCTGTCGGATCTTCCAGACAGCAAATGCTGCAGAGCTCAACCGTCCTGCCAGAGATGTGATATGGGGCCCCCATTGTAGTTTGTCATCTATGGTTATACCCAGAAAAGTAGTTTGTTTTACAAATTCCAATTTATTACCGTTTAATAATATGTCACATTC